TGAGTGATTTGGGGTTCTGCTACCAGTTTAAGATGTCTCTCAGGTGTTTGGGGACATCTTTGTCCAGGTGGTTATGTCTCTGAGCTGTGTGGCGATCTCTGTCCTAGGGTGTAAATTTTGTTAACTCAGAGCATTTGGGCATTGTGTGCCTAATGTGTGAGGTCTCTGGAAAACCTGTGGGTCTGCTTTGCAGATTGAGGTTAATGAACTCCCTGAGTGTTTCTGTCCAATAATGTGAAGTACTTGAGCCGTGTGGACATATGCAGCCAAATGTGCTGTCTCTGAGCTATTTTCGTGTCTGTCTCCCAGGTTAGAAGCTCTCTGAATTGTCTGAGAGGCTGCATCCACAATGTTGTGGGTCTTTGTCCTTTATAAGGTCTCTCTACTGTTTGTGGCAGACTTCGCACAGAATGTGAGGTTTCCAGGCTGTTTGATCTGTGTCCATGAGTGTCATCTGTCTGAAGTCTTTCTGGGTATGAGGACAAAGGATGAGCTCCATGAATGGTTCTGAGGTCTGAGTCCAGGGTGTGATTATTTCTGAATCATTTGGAGGTCTGTGCTTAGAGTATGAAGATTCTGAGCTGTTTGGGGACTTGAGGCCAGGATGTGAGGTTTATAAGCTGTTTGGGGTCTGTGTCCAGTTGTGTGACCTCAGATATATCTGGGGTGTGTATCTCAGGGTGTGAAGTCTCTAAACTATGTAGAGGATTGGTATCCAGATTTTCAGGTCTTTGAGCTCCTCCATGAACTGAGTAAGGACTCTGAACTGTTTGGGGATCTCTCAGTATACGAAGGCTCTGGGTTACTTTTAGGAAGTCTGTGTCCAGTACATGACATCTCTGAACAGGAATCTGTGTCAAGAGCGTGAGTTCTCTGAGCTGGTTTAGGGCCTGTGTTCCAGAGTGTAGGATTTGGGAGCTCTTGAGTATTGTGTTCAGGGTGAGGTCTCTGAGCTGTCTGGTGGTCTGAGAAGAGGGTATGAGGTCTCTGAACCATCTGTCCATCTTTGTCCCAGTTTGTAAATTCATCTCTGAGGAATTGGTGGGTCTATATCCCTGGTTCTGAAGTCTCTGAGCATTGTCGGGGTCTGTAATCAGAATTTCAGATGTGTGGGTTACAAAGTGTGAGGTCTCTGAAGCACTTGGTCATCTTTCCTCTGCTACTCTGAACCATTTCGGGGTCTGTGTCAGAAGGTGTGAGGTCTCTAAGCTGTACATAGATCTCTTTCCCAGGGTCAGAATTCTCTAAACAGGGTGTTTTGGGGCTATGAGATCTCTAAGCTCTTTGAGGTCTAAGACTTGAGGCTCTGAGCTGTTTGTGGCACCATGTTCTAGGGCAGGGGTGGGGAACCTTTTTTCTGCCAAAGGCCATTTGAGTATTTGTAACATCATTCGTGGGCCATACAAAATTATCAACTTGCCCTAGCCGGTTTAGCTCAGTGGTTAGAGCGCTGGCCTCCGGACTGAAGGGTCCTGGGTCCCATTCCAGCCAAGGACTCGTACTTTGGTTGCAGGCTCTGTCCTGGCCCAGGTTGGGACGCTTGCGGGAGGCAACCAATGGATGTGTCTCTCACATCGATGTTTCTCTCTCTTCCCCTTCCACTCTTTCTGAAAAAGCAATGGAAAAAAATATCCTTGGGTGAGGATTAAAAAAAAAAAATTCTCAACTTAAAAATTAGCTATGAAAAAAGCTCCTAGATTTATTGAATTTCTAGTCCCACCTGTGGTTGCCTTGGCAAGGCCAGACCAAATGATTTTGCGGGCCGTATATGGCTGTCCCCCACCCATTTTAGGGAGTGAGGTCTCTGGGATGTTTAGTGCTTTATTTTTCAGGATGTCTCTGAGCAATTTGGGGGTCTGTGTCCAAGGTGTAAGGTTTTAGAATCATTTAGGGATCTGTGTTCTGGGTGTGAGGTCTCAGGTGTTTGGGCTGTCTGTGGTTGTGGTGTGGTATCTCAGCTGTTTGGGAATCTGTCCCAGGATGTGAGAGCTCCAAGCAGTCTGGGAATTGATAATCAGGATGTGAAGGCTCTGAATAACTTAGGTAATGGTATCCCAGGTTGTGAGGTCTTTGAGATGTTTGTGTATTTCTATCCAGGAAAGAAAGTTCTGTGATGTGTTTAGGGTCCAGATCCTAATGTCAGAGGCAGCATTTAGGTCTTGGAGCTCTTTGCGAGTCTGAGTCCACTAGTCCACTAGTTTTGGTGCAGCCTGTTAGTTATTCAGAGCCTGTGTCCAGGTATGAGATCTCCGAACTGCATGGAGATGTGTATCCCAGATGTGAGGTCTCTGAGGTCTGGAGTCAATACCCAGGGTATATGATCTATGAGCTATTTGTCCTACATGCTGTATATAGAGGTCTCTGAGCTGTTTAGGATTCTGTCACCTGTGTGTCAACACTGAAATCTTTGGGTAGTTGTGCCATAGCATGTGAGATCTCTGAGAAGAAACAAGGCATAGGCACACATTCTGGTTGAGGGATGATCAAAACAAGTATATTTGAAACATCATCTCCTTGTTCTCCACTTTCTACCCTAGTTCATACTAGGTGCTCAATAAATACTTGCAGAAAATATAAATACAATAAAAACAGATTTTTATCTTTGAATGGAGCAGGCAGGCTTTGGGTTCAAAGCCTCTAAGAGCCAGGAGTGTCCAGCTAGAATTGTGTATTTCTGTATTTCCACTGTATTTATTTCTCTGGCTATTTTTGTTTATGGCAAGTGATAATGGTTTGTTCATTGAGACAGCAATGGATTTAGTTTGCTTTTTTAGTGCATTTTAAAATTGAAGTATAAAGCAAGCTTATTTTAGGTCAAGATGTTAGATGATGATGTAGGTAGTATGCAGTGGGGGTGTTCTAGTCAAACGGCTGAGGTTTGAGGAACATGTACCTGGGTACCCCAACTCCCAGCCTCTCATCCCCCAACCCCCACCTACATGAGGTCTTTAATCCCCACACCTTGGTTTGCTCAGTCAACAACTCACTTTATTGATGCCCACCCCAGGCTGGGTAGAGCCAAGAAATATACAAGAGGAGAATCAGATTCAGTCCATGCCTGAAATTCAGTCTAGGGACAGGGAGCACGGACACACAGACAGCCACACAGATCTGGTGGCAGGGCACAGTCTCACAGAGGGGCACTCTGGGCACAGGTAGTCAGGGAAGGCTTCCTGGAGAAGACCTCACAGGGAAAGCAAGGGGTGAGGCAGCCATCAGAGCCTTCATCTTCTGTACATCTGTGGGCAGGTAACTTTTGAGACTGTACTTGGCCTCCTGCCATATGGGCCCTTTCCTAGGATCCACCTCCACAGTTTTTAAGGCTTCCCTGAGACAATCTATGTAGACCAGGTGCTCAGCCCAGTGCCTGGCACCTCATCACCACCCCATCAATGCACATTTTTGTCCTAAGTGCTATCTACAGCCTACCTAGGTCTTGGTTCCAGCTCTGAGTAGTCCCAGCAGTCGTCACACGCCGACGGGGCTCCCAGGCGCCTTCTGTGCACCTCAAGGGCAGAGCTCAATCCCAGTCCACTTTAAGGGCTTAGAGTCTGGACTGCCTTCCTCTCATTGACCAGTGACCAGTGAGCCATGGGCATCCACTCTCCTTCCAGTGGCATGTGGGCTTCTACTTCTTGGATGCAAAGCCTACATGTGAGCATAAGCAGAAACCAGTCCCCAGCCCTGCAGACACCCTTTCTTTCATCAAGTGGGCTGGGAAGTCTGAGCTCTGATGTCAGCCTGCCCTGGGGCAGCTTCTACACTCTTGGAGCAGTAGGGAAAGGGCCTGCAACAGACCTCTCAAGCTCCAGGCAGAAGCAGGTAAATAAACATCTTTCCATTCTGGGGTTGGGGCTCACCCCTTGGACCTCCTTGATAGACCATGAATCTCAACTGCAGAAACTCCTGATGTTGAATTACTTCTCAAGGTGGGCAAAGGGTTGTAAGTGCAACCCATAGACGGAGCTGGGACAGGGAGAGGGGATTTCTGAAAGTCAGTCCTCACCACAACCCCGAGCACAGAGCAGGTGGAGATGGGTGAAGGCAGGCAGGAGGCCCTGGCAGTCA